GTTATTTTTACTTCATGTAATTAAATACAGAATTACCAGAATCAAATACTGCATTTATTATATCATTACCACATCTTAATGAGGAGTAGAGCTTATTATTGCTGAAAACAGACTAAAACAAAGTTAAAAGTTTAAAACCATGCACATTTATGATGTTAATGCTTCTGTGGTTCAGGAATCCAGGCATGTTGTAGCTAGAGTCCCTTGTCCAGGGTCTCACAGGCTGCAGGCAATCAAGGCTGTTTTTATAATGGGAGGCTTCCTTACAAAAGAATGGGATTCCACATTCAAGCAGAATTGAAGCAGAATTTATTTTCTTGTGGCAGTGTATTGATTGAAGGTCCTGTTCTTTGCAGCTCATTGGCTAGATACCACCCTCAGATCACAGAAGTCCTACATGGTTCCTTGCAATGTGGGCTTTGTAACTTTATCTGTTTATTTCATCAAGTCAACAAGGAGTAGCTCTTGCTCTAGTTTGCTTAAATAGATTTCTTTTAAAAATATTTTATTTATTTTTTTATTTTATGTGTATGAGTGTATTGCCTGAATGTGTGTAAGTGGACCCATGTCATGCAATGCCTGCAGAGGCCACAAGAGGCCATTGGATCCCCTGGAACTGGAGTTATGGGATGGCTGTTAGACACCATGTGGGTGCTGGGAACTGAACCTGGGTCCTCTGAAGAGCAGCCAGAGCTCTTGATCGCCAAGCCACCTCCCCAGCCCCTCAAATAGATTTCTTATGTCTTGCGATGTAATTGGGGAATGACACTAACCTAATAACCTAACTAGGGGTATCAGATCTATCAACTTTGCCAATCCTATTGACTAGAAGAAAGATTCAACTTTCTCCCATACTCAAAGGGAGGTGTGGTGGCTTGAGTGAAAATGTCCCCCATAGGCTCCAAGTGTTTGGACATTTTGTCCCCAGATGATGGAGCTGTTTTGGGAGGTTTTAGAAGGTGTGGCTATCCTGGAGGAAGCCTGTCACTGGGGGTGGGCTTAGAGAGTTCTTAAGCCTGTCCAGCTCTCCAGTTGCCCTCTTGCTTCCTGTGCCTGTGTGATGATGTGAGAGCTTAGCTTCAGCTGCTCCTGCTCCAGCCACCTCCAGCCACCATGCCTCCCTGCCATGACGGACTGTAATTCCCCTGAGCTCAAATAAACTCTTCCTTCTATAAATTGCTTGGGTCAGTATTTCTATCACAGCAACAGAAAAGTGATTAATACAGGAGGGAATAATAGGATGTGAAAATTATTGTGTGGTCACCTTAGGGTCTGTCTGCCTCATTATTACTGAAAAAAATTCCATGTGTGCAAGAGAGTGCATTTAATTTTGTGAATATTCCTTCATCAGTCTAATTAGGTCATGGTAAACTTCCCAGGGTGCATCTTTTCCAAGGTAAAAATCCATATGATTGTAGTGTGGAATCACCTTATAATAGATAAGGTTGGAAACCTTAGGGAGTAAATTTTCAGTGTCCTTAGCATCTGCTACAATATCCTGTCCACCACTCCATATTGCTGTTGGGACTTCCATCTCAGTAATGTTGTATAGAGGCGGTGAAAGCTAAGAGAAATGAAAGAGAGAAAAAGAAAATTAGTTGCCAGCTACTAAGCTAATTCTTTAGTTCTAATAATGTTTGGTTGGTATTTGTTTAATAATACATGAACATAAAATATTATATTAGTTCTCTATTACTATGACAAAGTATCTAAGAATAACAACTAAAAAATGATAAAGTATGTTTTCATTTCAGAGGTTGCAGTATCTGGTTGCTTGACTTGCTTGCTTTGAGGCCTGTTATGAGGCATACCACATGGTGGAAACACATGGCAGAGGAAAGTTGTTCACATCATGGTAGTCAAAAAGCTAAGAAAGCAGTTTCATACAGTAATATGTATTGTGGAAAATAAGGGACGTCTATAGTTTTGACTTGTACTTTTGAGTACATAGGGATCCTAGGGGAGTGTTTCTCTAAAATGATAGGGTTTATCTTTCTGGTAGCACTTGACCTGACAGAAAATCCTTTTCAGTAATGGCTGGATAGTGTAAAACATCATCCTTTCTCCTACATAGACATCTGGGCTCAGTAGTGTTTTGACACTTAGGCATCAGCAGCCTTTTGGTGAGCATTTATATCAACACATGAAAAGAAATCTGTGAAATGTGCTAAATGGAAGGCAACTGTTACATGGAAACAGAATGCAATAGAACGAACACTTAGTAAGTTTTTCCTTAAGCTTTCTTCCTCTTGATGATCCAGTGTAATCTCTCATCTAAATGGCCACATAGGGTCCATTTGTCCTTCTGTGGTCAGAAGACCTGCCACAGTACAGGATCTGGATACACTTTCAAAACTGGACCAGAAGACTCTCTAGCACTTTCAGAGCTAACTGAGAAAATATGACCTCTTCTTTGGCTTTGACATTGCAAGGGCTGTGTGATGTTAGGCGCATCCAGGCAGGATATGAGCACTATGTTGGAGAGTCAAGGATGAAAATAGGAATTTCTGAGCAAAATTGAGAATGAGATGGAAGAAAGAGAAGAGGGAGAAGACCTGATGATAGGTTTTAAAGTCTATTGCCAGAAAAGCAGAATTATTTTGAGGGGTGGTTTGAGACATGGTTTCTTTGTAACCCTAGCTGGTCTGGAACTCCCTATGTAGACCAGGCTGGCCTTGATCTCAGAATCCACCTGCCTCTGACTCTTGAGTGCTAGGATTAAAGGCATGAGCCATAAAGCCTGGCACCAGAACCTTGCTTTAAACCTAAAATAGACTTGTTTACTTGTTTTCTGCTTTGCAACTGAATAATTGACCATTGTAAACAATTTCTGATTATGATATGCTATAGACTGAAGCTTAATTTTCAAAAAATTCATAAGTTGAATCACTAATCTCCAATGTGAGATAGGACTTTCAGGAGCTAATTAAGGTTAAATGATGTCCTAAGCATAAGGTTCTAATTCTATAGAATTGTGGTCATAAAAAGATTTTTAGCGCTCTCTCTCTCTCTCTCTCTCTCTCTCTCTCTCTCTCTCTCTCTCTCTCTCTTTGTACACTAAATAAAGACCATGAGTATACATTAAGAACACAGACATTGTCTGGGGACAATGACTTGACACATCGGGCCTTAATACAGATGACAGAGTATATAGGTTCCAGTGGGGAGGGTGTAAGAGGGTGCTGGTGGGGATGGGGGTATAAAGATAATTAATAGTGTTTGAGATATCCTGTATAAAATACACAAAATTTCAATGAAAACAAGTTAAAAAAAAAAAAACGCAGTCACCTTTGAGCAAAGAAAACGAACCCTCGCTCCAACCTTGATGTACCTCGATCATGGACATATATTCCTTCAGAACTGAGGTAACATGGACAAAGGCGAAGACCCCAAGGAAACATGACCTTGGCCTATGAAAACTTACTTAATTTAATAGAATTCAGCTTGAGGAATATCCTGGCTGGGTAACTGTATCTCAAATTCTCTTAGAAGTGATTATTTGGGCAGAACTCACTGGTATAGTCCTATTGAGGATTACTTTCATTTCACGGGCTAGCATCTGGATCTTTGATATCATCCCTCTCCTTTGTTAGTAAGAAGTCTTGGCAAGTTAAGGTGCAGCTTTGAGACAGCAATATGCAAGGGAGAGAAGGAAGTGGATCTAGCATTGCGTACAAGGGGAAGGTGGGCTCCAGAAAGCCTGGTACGAGGCCTCCAAAGCAAAGCACAACTAATAAAAGGAGCAGGCCTTCCCCATGTGCTTTTCTCAGAATACAAAGCACAAACTTCTAGAAGCTAAGACAGAGAACAAGGACTAGACAGCAGTCTCCACGAAGACAGCAACAGACAGGAGCAAACTTTGAGAAAGTCAGGTTTCTTCATATTGGAATTTCTTTACTCCAGAGAAATTCTCACTCAGCTTAGATAAAAGCAGGCATTTAGAAAATGGCAACGTAAATGTGAATATAAAAATGTGAATTTAAATAACATCTGGTAATTTTTTGCCAGGAATTTTTAAGATTTATTTTTAAATTGACAGTGAGAAGTTATAAGCTTTTACGAAAAAAAACTTTCTTAGTAATATAGGATTATTAGTGATTTATGTTGGTAATTATGCCCATATATTTTATTGTGTCCTTAAATAGAGTTGTGACTAAGGTTGCTGCCTTTGAAATATACATAATTCATCTTTTGTTTTGGGTCTCCCCTCAAGGTTCCAAGAAAAGACCCCACATCTGAACCTCAGTCATCACATAGTTACGATTTTGATTCTACCCATAACCACAAATATAAAGCTGATACCTGTGACCCCACTTTTATCCACATCTCATAAGGTAAGGCCATCATCTCAAAAGCTTTTCTTGAAGAAACTACATACTCTTGCAAGTACAAGGAAGTCATTTATTACAAGAGAAAAAAAAGCACTCTGAATTTACGTGCATTTGGCTTCACTCCCTGCTCTCAAGCCCATGTACATCAAACTGCAGCAGTTTGGGAAGATAACCAGACTTTTCCAAAATAGTTGGAGTTATGCATTATCGTTGATACAGTTATGGTTGCATTGAAAATTATTTTAAAAGCTTCCAAATCTCACAGATTTGACAAACTCATGTCCTACTGAAGACAGTGATTTCAGTTTGAGCTCAGAATGCCATCAAGAAGTCAAAACAATTAATGGGACTCCTAACACACTTGGGGAAAACAGCAGTAATCAACAATATACACTTTTTTCAATATATATTTGTTGAATTTTAGTTCATTCCATACAATGCATCTTAATCATATTTAGCCCTCCTTCTCTATCTGCACCCCCCCCCAAAGCCTGCCCACAGCACTTCACACATTCTGTCATACATATTAAGGCCTATCAAGTCAAGTTTGTGTACCCAGATGTCCCCTTATGTGAGTTCATCCACTGGCACCTGTTCAGCCTGTCTAGTGTCACTCCTTTAAAGAAGATCAACTTTCCCTCACCCAGCAATGATCAACTGCTAATAGTTTCTTGGCTTCCTTTGAATGTAGGACATTCATTCTAAAAGTTTTCACAGATAATGTCAAGAAATGTCCTGGCATCCATTCCCTGTCAAATAGTGTTAGCTCTCTCTAAAGAAGATATTTCCAACTGACACATATTTAATGATCCATATTTTGGATTTAAAACAAAACAAGGGTACCCTGAAGCACTATTAGAGCAATGTTAATTTCATGAGATACGTGACAAGATTTGCTTTAGAAATGAAGATCTGTGTGTTTTCCAATTCTCTGTTCAAAACAGAGTTAGTAAAATAACGAGAAGTGGTTTTTTTGTTTTGTTTTGTTTTGTTCAAAAAGTAGTAATGGTGAATGAAAACTCGGATTTTCAATCCTGGGATCCTTGGGTTATAATCTAGTTATGTGGCAGTTTACTTAACTACTTTGAACTTCTGGAAAAATGTGGGTAATAACGTTTGTGGCCATCATAAGGATTAGAGATAATGATACAGCACATGGTAAAGCCCTAGAAGCAACATGAGCCAGCAGCAATAAGTAATGCCCATTGTAGCAAATGGGAACTCACAAACACCTAAACTAGTGGGTGGGAAAGGCTTTCATCGGCGCATTACAATGTGCCATGGTTGTGATTATTATTATTGTACCTGGTGGAAGTGAATCATGTTCTGGTCAGGATTGCCCCAGTCAAAAGCTTGTAGTTGTCCAGAATTAACAGCCTAAGATAAAATAAACATAATAAGCACATTAAAATGGCATAGAAAAACAGTGCACATTTAAAGTTAATGAGCAGAAAATATACAAAGAAGGTTGAGATTATACCCCACTCTTTAGAACATGAACTGATTGTCAATAAAGATTAATCAATCAAATAATAAAATGGATACCGATTTGCGGAACTTGTACAACCTTTTACCACCCTATAGTTTTTGAATGAAAATCCTTAGATAACAATGCCTTAAATGCTATGTTACACATTGAGTTTCTTTTAAAAAATGTTGAATATTTTGTATTCAGGATTTATATCTGCATATTTTTATTTATTATTTATTTTTTATTTTTATTTTATGTGTATGAGTGTATTGCCTGCATGTACGTGAGTGCACCCATGTCGTGCAACGGCCACGGAGGTCAGAAGAGGGCTTGGGATTCTGCTGGAACTGGAGTTAAGGACGGTTTGTCGCTGCCATGTGGATGCTGGAAATCAAACCCGGGTCCTCTGTAAGAGCAGTCAGTGCTCTTAACCACTGAGCCATCTCTCCATTTTTATAAAACCTTTGGCTACACATTTCAAATACTAAAAATGACCACTACTATTATTAAACAACTTAGCACTATACACTCCACATCAAATGGTCTTGAACTATTATGACTATATTCTTTTTTCTTAAATGTTTTTGTCACTATTAGGTGAGGATTCACCCCTGGTGTAGACTGCCTGCTGCTCTCTGCTGCCCAGCTCCAGGGCCAAGCCATGTACTGAGTTGTGAGTAATACAGGGATTGGCTGAGTGTTGGAGGCAGTGGGAGTGGCTATTTTTATGCCCTGGAATTTAGACTTCAAATATGTGACTAGGAGCATACAGATACTCAGATGGCAGTATAGGACTTTATTCCCAGCACTCAGGAGGCAAAGGCAGGTGAATCTCTGTGAGACTGAGACCAGCCTAGTTCCGTAGGGAGTTTGGGGCCAAATGGGGCTACAGGGAGACCCTGTCTTAAAAAGACATGAAAAAAAAGAAATATACAGACACAATTTCCTTTTGTTTTCTGTTATTTTAGACTGACGTTGGATTAAAGAGGTAGTCTTCAGATATATATCAAGCACTTCATTCAATTATCCTCAGAATACAATAAGAATTTATTTTTTTAGCTTGAATCTTGTATTTTCCTGTACTCATAGATTTAATCCTGACTTTTAGTGAAAAATTATCAAAGCTATAACTTAAATATATAACTCATATATATTGAAATTCTAAAATTATTTTATGTGTGTGAGTGTTTTGTCTGCATGTAAGTAAGTGCACCCATGTTGTGCAATGCCCATGGAGGTCAGAAGTAGGTGTCAGATCCTCTGGAACTAGAGTTAACCGAGAGTTGTTGGCTACCATGTGGGTGCTGAGAGTTGAACCCAGGTCTGCTGCAAGAGCAACCAATGCTCTTGACTACTGAGCCATCTCTCTAGCCCAAAATTCTACAAATTTTAAACAATACAGTCCTATTTAGAAACTTGGAGTCCAGTGTCAAATGAAACGGGTTTGTATCCTGGCTTGAGGGATGACTGGATTTGTTATTCAGGGCAAGAGATTTGCAAAATGAGAATGATAACATTCTTGTAACAGGACTGTGAAGATAAAATAGGGAGATGCATACAAAGCATGAGCCCCTGGCACTGTGCAGCAGGGAGGTCTTTCATCAGCATGATTGCAAGTGAAGCATCTCTTCTTTGAAATGCTTGAGAGCAGATGCATTTCTGATATCATAGATTTTTTAAAAATTTTTGAAATATTGTATGGGCTTTATCAGTCGAGTGCCTAATTTGAAAATCCCAAATCCACAGTGCTCCAGAATCTAAAACTTTTGGGGTGCAAAAATATTCTACTGGTACCATTACCAGCATCAGCATCAGCATCCTTGCCTTAGCTGTCGGAATAATTTCTCACCAAATATTTTATTCCCATCACTCCTTATTTCTACAATGCAAATACTTCCTGTCAAAGAAAAAGATTCTGTGAGATGCATAAGGCCTTGACTGTGACATTTGTAGCCCAGGGTTATGAATGCCTTTATTGAAATTTATCATGTGGTTTCAGTGAGATGAAAGAAATCATATATGGAGACCAAAAACAAACAGTAAGTGCTCATGGCCTGTGAAACTGAATTGCATTTCCTGGGAGGCCTGGACCAATCTAGGCTCTGTCTGTGTCCTCACCAGTAAGAGGTCCTGTGCCTAGAACAGCTTTTTTCCTATAGGAAGATGAAAGCTGTCTCCTGGGAAGTCAAACTCTTCAAAGTCTTTCAGAAATCGCCAGTGGTTGTGTTTCATATTATCATAACTGATTCTCAACCTAAAGCATGCTACCAGATATTAACATATATATTAAAATTCAAATTCCTAGCATGCTTTCTCTGTCTCTAGAGGTCTCTCTCTGTCTCATACACACAGATAGATGGGAGCATGTATATTTTGTTCACTTTTCCAAAAAGATGAGATGAAGTCACTGGTTAGGAATACAGGCAAGGTTACACAATCAACAAATTAATATACACACAGACATCCTGGTTCAGTAAGCTATACTAATTGAACTTGCTTTGTCTCTTAGCTTACTGTATACTGAGTAACATAATAATAAGATAAAAGTTTAACCAAGGAAAAAACCATAAACTGTTCTCTATTTTAACCCCTCCCTAACATTTAATGTACTCAGATTAAAGCATTCTTACTGTACTCTCTATTGGCCCACGTGTTAAGTAGAAGATGAAGAGGTTGTTCTGGAATAGGCTGTATCATTTTAGATAAAGTTTTGTTAAAGCTGATGATTTCCCAAACAAGCCTTTCCTCAAAGGGCAGGAGGAAGAATCTAAGAATGAGAGACTCCTTTATAATATGTGGGATCCCAGCTCATGACTCAGGCACTGAAGATAAGGAGAGCTGAAGGGAGCAATGGACATGAAAAGGAAGACTTGGTGCCGATTGTAGAAGCATCGCCATGACAGGTAGCGACCTGCAAACCCTACACACCGCTCTTTGGAAGTGCATCGCAAAGATTTTGCAGAAGTATGACTATGCCAGTCAGGGACAGAAATCATGTACCTGGGCCCAGTGCAGCATATTCTGAACGGATGTTCCTGCAGGGCTCTGTGCCAAATAAACATCCAAGCGACTCTGCAAAGAGATTATTTTTTATCCAGAGGCTACTCAAAATTATACCACAGGCAGACAATTTGAGAATCATTTTTAATTTCTATTTATTGTAATTATTAATTTTTAGGGGAAAACTTGTGCCATATCTTTGAGGACATGTTACCCAAAGAAGCCCATCTTTAAGCACTTTTTCCTCTGAGAACGTTGCTTGTCTGTTCTGGGCAATGATTTCTTTCAGTCTAGACAGGGCATGTGACTGGGTGAGGGCAGAAGGCCGTGTGTCTATCCTTCTACTTTGTATATAGAATGGACATCATGGAAAGCTTTCATGACACAACATCAAGAACATAATTTCATGTTTCCTTTTGTTGCTTGATTTAAAAAAAGTGTCAAATATTCTGTAGGATATTCTGCTGAACGCATGTAGGATGGAATTCCTCCAGAATGCTTAGATTTATTCTGGATAAATACTTTTTTCTTTCACATTTCCAATATGTTTTTAAATACAAGAATTATTTTTTCTACCAAAGTAAACATCAGAAACTCTTTAACACTTTCAAAAACTCCATCTTCTCTGAGCTAAAATGACTGGAAAAACTTAAAATCTCTAGGATCACATTCAGGATATCTTCATTATGTATTTATTTATTTTTTGGAGTTACAAAAATGCTAAAATTACCTCGGTAATGTCTCATTAAAGTAACTTCTTGCAGATGCTGTAATACTCCATAATCCAGTCCTTAACAGTGAGACAAAAGGGATCTGACTACGTATATGGTCACTGAGGACCTCTATGGATGGTCAAGTCTATTATTCTGTGAAGATTTATTGAACTGTTAAGCCAAGTTGTAATTATCCACTCTTGTATTTGCTTAAAGGCCTTTTTACTTAACTCTGCACACATAGCCTGTGTTCGTCTACATAATATACCAATATATACGTGACGAGCAAGCACTGGAAAATTGAGGCAGGAATGTGGAAAAGCAGTGGTTCCAGCATGTTTTACAAAAACAAGCCTTTTAGAAGAGACTTGGGCCTGGCCAGCAGCACTGTAATTCTAGCAATTCAGGAGGCTGATGCAGGACTGTCACAAATTCAAGGCCTGCATGGGTTACATAGTGAGGTGAAGGCTAGCCTGGGCAACTTAGTGAGACCTTGCTACAAAATAAGTTAATTTACCAAACTTAAAAACTGCAGATGACTAGAACCAATTCCTGAGATTCTAGTTCAGTAGGTTTGAAATAGGGATCAGATGTTACTAAAAGAAACTCCAGAGGCCTAATCCTAAAGAAAGGGAATGATTAAATCTAGGGCCTGGCACATGCTCAGCAAGTGCTCCACCACTGAGCTATGTACCAAGCCTTTCTAATTGTTTTAATTTGGAGCAAGGTCTCACTACATTGTCCAGGCAGGCTTTGAACTCATTATGCAGCCTAGGCAGGCCTTGAATTTGTGGCAGTCCTGCCTCAATCTCCAGAAGAGCTGGGATTACAGTGTTGCTGGCCAGGCCCGAACCTTTTATAAAAGGCTTCTTTGGGGCTCTTGTGTGTGTGTGTCTGTGTGTGTGTGTGTGTGTGTGTGTGTGTGTGTGAGTGTGTGTGAGTGTTTGTGTGTGAGTGTGAGTGTGTGTGAGTGTGTGTGAGTGTGAGAATTAGTGTGTGTGTGAGTGTGTGTGTGTGTTGGGGGGAATATGGGAGGGTGCCAGCGGGGATGAAGTATAAAGATGATTAAGATTGTTTGAGATATTCTATATGAAATACACAAAAATTCAATTAAAACAAATTATTTTTTAAAAAGGCATATTTTATGCAAAGTCTTTTTCTCAAATCCTCCTATAAAAGATGGTCAACTCCCAACCTTGGTTGTTTGGAAGCCATGAAGATACTAATTATATTCCACAAGACAAAAAGGAAGCCTTCTAATATGGCTTCTATAAAATCCAGAGTGAACTTTCATAACCTGTACGCCACCAAACCATAGCTTTGCTAGATGTGACGATTTATACATACCGTGTTTAAGTTTTGGGGATCAAATCCACCTAGAGTAAACATGAAGTTACTGCACACAGCACGGAAAATCTTCTGGTTGCACACTTTGGTGGCAATGAATTGGCCAAATAATGTGTGAGTGGAGAACATTTTGTCACCAAACAATGCCTGCATAAAAGATTTAAAGCCCCATCAAATTTCATGGATATGGATATCAAGAGTGGAGAATGAGTGTTAATTTAGATGAGGACCGGGCAGCAAGTGACGTCTGATCATTTGAAATGTGCTCGGTGAAACAAGTCTTGTTAAATTTTGTCGTAGTCTTCATAATTCAGCTCCAGACCCAAGAATTTTTCTCTGAGATCTTTTTGGCTTGCTCCCTGAGAGACCATTTTACACAGAATTTTGGAAAGGCTTTGAAGTAAGCATTTCTGTGCTTGATTTTAGATTCTCATAACAGGAAGAATTTGGCTTTTATTATCCTGTAGTTAAACTTTGTAACTATGTTATGGGAAAATTATCATCCACTGAGTAGAATCATTGTGAAGGTATGGGTTGTATTTAAAGAACATTTAATGAAGTTCCTAGAACTTAGTAAATAGTCTCAAACCAATAACTATTATCACTATTAGTGACTGAAACAGGGTCAATGAGCTATTTCTTTCACAGTTTTTAATGTACTCTTAGAAACCAAAGCTTAACCCTAAGAACTGAATCTCTACTAATCAAATTTCGGGCAAGTATACAAGTATATTAAATATATCTCTTGAATTCTAGAAATCTATTATTTTATAACATGTTAGTATTGGACACTCATGTGCATTAATCCAACCTAGCTTTTATTGCATAATAATGAATTTCATATTCTTAGAATAATAAGCTACATATAAGGTGAAGAGATCAATTTTAGTTATTAAAATTTTGTAAACAAACATTTACAGTAAAAACTGGTACATATTTCTCTTGGAATCCTTTATAACCTGATTACTGCAAACAAAATGACAACAGATGGCGTTTCTTTTCATTTAGAAGTGTACTACAAGTTCTTATACTTTCTTTGGTAAACTAGATCCAGAAAATTCTTATCTGGTATAACTTTTTAAATTCTGTATTCGAAAAAAATACTTTTATGGTAGGATTGAAGGAAACCTTATTTAAAAAATGTTTGTTGTTCTATGAAACTTCAATAGAACGTATAAAGCACAAGGATCTAATTAATATTCCTTCCATCTTAGAGAAAAGACAGATGAGGAGAAAGAAAAGACACACAGAGAGAGAGAGAGAGAGAGAGAGAGAGAGGAGGAGGAGGAAAGTGGAGGCAGAGGAGAAGGAAGAGCAGGAGGAGGATTAGAATGAAAGGGGAGAATTGCAATATATTAAACTGGTTTATAGCACTGACTTCTACAGGTCTGGAATGCAGTAATATACCATTACAGATATTGTCTAATTCATTCTGTCCTGTTCTTCATTTTGTCATAATTACTGGGACAGGTAGATAACGTATTAGATAATTACTCTAGCTTACCAAATTGTAGCTCTATGTAACTGCCCTTATGATAAGTTAATAATTGTAGTTGCCCATATTCATAGTGTGAACTTACTTTTGAAAGGAATGCTGACATCCATTCAGTGTTCTAAGTGTGGCAACCTAAATAAATTGCCATACTAATGAATAATTCAATTAAAAGTCAGGATCTAATTTGAATCATTGAATATTTAAAATTTTCACTTATCAATACTTTTTCTATCCACATTTAGGAAACATGCACGTGAAAGCAAACAGCCTACAGAAATACAGAAGCCAGGAAAATACATGAAGATAAGTGGTATTTACCACATGGGTCCTTGCTCTCTGTTCTGATAGTTTTCCCCAATGCAGGGGAAAATAGCATGATAATTTCTTATTTTACTCCATCTATAAATCCAACACTATGCATTTGTCTAAAGAGAAATAATAACTCTTTCACCCTACCCTAAAAGACTGTAGTAATGCAAGGAGCAGCTGCTTACAGATTGGCAAGCACAATATAGTACAGGTGTAATTCTAGATTTATCCTGGAGGGGGCACATTTGTCACACAATAGTGATACAAGGCTCCTCTAATAGTTCTTTCCACACTTATGTGAGAATTGAGCCATTTTTGTGTTTTTGGACACCCAACTTCATAACCTTTTTGATGCCAGCCTGAAAACGTCAGCCTGGATCCTCACATATGCATTACACAAGCTTATCCTCCTAAGGAGACTGCTGGAGATTTAATCCAGTCCAGAAAGCATGGCTTGCCAAGCAAAACATGGGCTGGATGTAGTAGTGCATAATACTGTACTTGGGAGGCAGAGGTAGGATTGCTTGAGCTTGAGGCCACCCTGGTCTACATAGCAAGTTCCAAGCCAGTTGGGGCAAAACAAACCAAAACGGCAACAAAACAGTAGAGAAACCCTTACATATAATCAAAACCATTGATCTTCAATTGCCCAGTCAGGAGTGGGTTCAAGGTTTGGCTCTGGCACCCTAAATTAGCTGGGTGATTTGGGAGAGGTTGCTACTCATCTGAGCTTCAAGTTTTTATTGGAAGAAATGAAGATGATATTAACAATCTTGAGTGAGATAGAGAAAATCAAAAGATAAAAGGTTTCATGCAAGCTGGAGAGACAAAAGAAAGTAGAGAGACAAAAATCCAGAGGCTTAAATGCCCAGGGGCAGAATGGGGTGAGGAGGTCGGGTGGCAATAGGTCAACA